AGTTTTGATCGTGCTTGCCAAAGGTAAAGGAGAAGATAAGCGCAACCCCCGCACCCAGGCCCTGCTCCGCGGCTCAGTGCTGACCATGACTGCAGGCCATGTTCCCCCTGCTGATTCTTTTCATTGGTAACCTCGTGCAAGTCCTCAAGGATTTCAATCTTGGCACAATACCGCAAGAACAGCTCAGTGAGCAGATTCGCGATATTGCTCTGTACGTCCTACCACACCCCACTCCTCCTCACCGCCGGTCGGACAGGTCCCATGTCCCCTCTGTCACTGCCAAAAAGAGAGGCTAATCAGGCGCTAGCTACATTGTCTACCTTTTCCTCGGTCAGCTGGTCTCCGTCTTCATCTTCACCAACGGCTGCCTTCTCGTCGGCGAGGCCATCACCAATGCCATTCGCGAAAAGTATGTCCGCTCCCTCTTCCGGCAGAACATTGCCTTCTTCGACACCTACGGATCCGGTAAAATCACCTCCCAGCTCACCTCGAGCACGGCAACCATTCAAGATGCCATATCACACAAGATTGGCTTGTTTGTCAGCGCCTGCTCCTGCTTTGTCGCCTCCTACGCCATTGGTTTCGTCAAGCACTGGAAGCTCACCTTCATCCTGACCTCCACCGTCGTCGCCATCACGGGCGTCATGATCATCATGTCCGGCTTCATGGCCAAGTTTGGAGCCAATTCTTCCGGTGCGCTTGCAGAAGCTTCGGCAAAGCTCGAGGAAACCTTTAGCGGTATCCGCGTCGTCAAGGCCCTTGGCTTAGAGAAACGCTTATCCGACGAACTGGATCCACAGCTCCTCAACATCGAGTTCTGGGGTAAGCGAGTGAGACATGTCATGGGATGGATGTTGGCCATCATGTACGGTCTCATCTTTCTCAACTATGTAAGTCGTCCAGTCTACTGGCTCATCATGCGCATCATGATTCAAAAACAAGAGGCTGACAACAAGGAAAAAAGGGATTGGCCATATGGCAGGGCTATAGGTTCATGCAAGGCGGGACAGAAGACGTCGGTGCCATCATCACCGTACTCATGTGTCTCAACATTGGAGCGTTCTTGTTCGGCAACGTGGGGCCCCATCTTCAGGCCATGAGCCTCGGAGCCGCTGCCGCCCAAGACATATTCGCCGTCATTGAGCGTGAGTCGGTTACGGATGGCGGCGCGCCGCCCGGATCATTCGAGGTCGAAGGAAACATTGAATTCCGCAACGTCAGCCATGTCTATCCCAGCCGGCCAGACACACACGTCCTCCAGGATTTCAGCATGATCTTCCCCGCTGGCAAAGTCACGGCCATTGTCGGCGCCTCTGGTAGCGGCAAGAGTACCATTGTCAGCATCTTGGAGAGGTTCTACGAACCTGTCAGTGGGCAGGTCTTCCTGGACGGCCACGACATCACCCACCTCAACGTGCAATGGCTCAGACAGCAGTTTGGCTTGGTCGGTCAGGAGCCCGTGCTCTTCAACGGATCCATCTTCAAAAACGTTGCGTACGGTCTCAAAGGTACACAATATGGGCAAGAATCGAGGGAGGTCACCATGAAGCTCGTGACCGAAGCTTGCCGTATTGCCAATGCGCATGACTTCATCACTGCCCTTCCTCACGGATATGATCAAGAGGTTGGCATTCGCGGCGCTTCTCTCAGCGGCGGCCAGAGGCAGCGAATTGCCATTGCACGAGCCATTGTGTCGGGTCCAAAGATTCTCCTGCTCGACGAGGCTACCTCAGCACTCGATGTCCAGTCCGAAGAGGCGGTCCAATTGGGACTCAACATGGCCTCTTCTGGTCGCACTACCATTGTCGTCGCCCATTCGCTGTCCACCATCAAGCTCGCTGACAACATCATCGTCATGGAAAAAGGTCGGGTCGCTCAGCAAGGAACCCATGCCGAATTGGAGGCTCAGGAAGGATTGTACCAAACATTCGTGCGCAGACAACAATTGAAGCAAGCCACCTTGGAACCACCCCATGCTCGCATCACGCCCGCTGTCGATACTCCTGCTTCCCCGCAACATCGTCTCTCGGAGAAGACTGGCAGTATCTATGGACAAGGCGAATCGGAAGCAGCCGACAAGAGTCCCTCTACAAAGTACTCGTTTGTGCAGCTCGTCAAATTTGTAAGCAGCATCTGCCCTTTTTGCTACCCACGTTGGCCGTTTGAGTCGATTGGATTTTCATCTTGGAAAGCTAACATGATTCTAGGTTGCTAGGTTCAACAAGGAAGATTGGCGATTGATGGTGACAGGAATAGCGAGCGCCGTCATTTCCGGTGCCGTATGGCCGGCCCACAGTGTATTCTTTGCCAAAGCTGTACGTCATACCCACACTTGCATGATCGCTCTTCCCATTTTTGCTAATGTCTCTGTGTGCTAGATTGTCGCGCTTTCTTCTCCGTCACCTGCATCTCTGGCTCGAGGTCCAAACTTCTGGGCTGCCATGTACGTCATGCTAGCTTTTGTGCAGATCGCCAGTCAGGGAGTTCAGGGCAGTGCATTCGCAATCTGTGCCGAACGACTGATACTGCGTGCTCGTCGCGTAGCTTTCAAATACCTTCTCCGCCAGGACGTGGAGTTCTTTGACGATCCTCTGCACTCTTCCGGCATCATGACCAGCTTCGTCAGCTCTGATGTCAATGCCCTCGCGGGATTGAGCGGCGTCTTCCTGGGAACCCTGTTCAGTGCAACGGCAACGGTTTTGGGAGGCTTGATTCTCTCGCTGGCCGTTGGCTGGAAATTGACCCTGGTCACCATGGGCACGATTCCCATCATCATCGTTGCCGGCTACCTACGACTCAAATTGGTCGGAACTTTGGAAAAGATTTCGCGCAAGGTACATGAAGAATCTGCAGGCCGCGTGTGCGAGGAAATCAACGCTGTCAGGACCGTTGCGGCTTCTTGCCTCGAGGACGAGATGTGTGAAGACTATGTTCGCAGCTTGAAGTCGAAGGAAAAAACCTATCTACGGGCAACCCTGTGGAGCTCTGGCTGGTATGCTTTGTCGGAAGCAGTGCCGCTTGGTTGTATGTCGCTGGGCTTCTGGTATGGTGCTACACTAGTCATGAGAACAGAGGTGAGTTTTTTCGTTCAAACGAGTGACATTGTCACCTGCTTCGCATCTTGCTGACTTCATGTCCAGTACACGACCGAGCAATTCTTCATAGTGGTCACTGCCGTCATCTTTGGTGCCTCATCCGCTGGTCTCGTCTTTGCCTTTGCTCCTGATTTTGGCAAGGCTGGCGTATCAGCAGAGAGACTGCAAGAGCTCGTGGATCGACAGCCCGAGGTGGATACTTGGTCTGAAGAGGGCGATCATATCGAGACGACAAACGGAAAGGTGGACGTTTCCAATGTTGTCTTCTACTACAATCAACGATCGAAAACTCCTGTACTCAACTCCATCTCACTTGGCGCCGCTCCTGGACAATCCATCGGCCTTTGTGGTGGGAGCGGGTCGGGTAAAAGTACTGTCGCTTCGCTCCTCGAGCGCTTTTACAATCCCTCTTCTGGGACGGTCAGTCTGGACGAAAAGGATGTGCGCACGATCAACATCAACAGCTATCGCGCTCAGTTCGCCTTGGTCAACCAGGAACCCCTGCTCTTCTCCTGCTCTATTCGTGAGAACCTGCTTTATGGTTCGCTTGGCAAGGACCTTACAGACTCGGAGATTGAAGAAGCCTGCAAGATGGCTCAAGTCTACGACTTTGTCTGCTCATTGCCAGAAGGGCTAGACACTTCCTTTGGATCCAACGCGGTGATGCTTAGTGGTGGTCAGAGGCAACGTCTCTCGATTGCGTAAGTTTATCCTTTCTAAACGACATTGCAGCCAAAAAAAAAGCAATGTTCTGCAAGGCTCCCATGCTAATCTTGGTTTGAAACCATAGGCGCGCCATTCTTCGCAAACCCCGTGTCTTGATTCTCGATGAGGCTACCTCGGCCCTTGACTCGACCTCGGAACGGGCCGTCATTGAAGCATTGACGAAAACAGCCGAGGGTAGAACGACAATCATGGTTGCGCACAGACTCAGCACGATCCAAGGATGCGACAAGATCTTTTACCTCCGCGCTGGTGCGGTGGCTGAAGAAGGAACACATGAGGAGTTGATGGCGAAACGAGGCAGTTACTATGACAGTGTCAACCTGCAGTCTCTGGGATAAGTCGAGCTGGAGTCTCTGGCATACCGGTAGATCATTGGCAGGGATTACTACTCTAGTTGCATTACACATGGAGAATTTCACAGGGAAGCACTTCTTGTACTTTACTAATACTTTTTCGGACTTGATGTACAATTGGGACCTTTTCTTTTTGTATAGTAAGGAGTCTACTACTCTGGCTGCATTCAAGTGAGAAATTTCACACGCAAAGAAACTTATCATGGTTTACTATTCGTCGCACAAGCATTTGTCTCTCCGCAAGGTGAAAT